ATCATGAAACATGAAAAGAGATGTTTATCATTTCTCACACTGAATGAGTCCAGATGACGCTCATCAAATACAATCATGTGATTCATGACTCCATGTTCTGCCATCCATCCAATAGATGTCAGCACTTCCCGGGCAGGGTGACCACCATCTTTATTCTGGCTGTGATTGGCCAGCATGTTGGAGACATAAATCACAAAGAGTTGTGTCACTGTTTTGGGCAATGATGTCATCAGCTGACCAGTGATTGTTGGTTGGCCTCTGAAGCACATTGATAACACTGTACAAATGATCCAGCAGTATGATGGGATATAACAGAAAGTGTACAGCGTGTCATTCTCCTTCACATAATGAAAAGCCTTTCCTGATAATTCCTCATTTCCAAAGAAATTTCTGAAGAAGATCAGTCTGTCTCTGGGGAGAAATCCCATGATGTCCACTATTCTCTGGAAGACATGAGTATCAACTGAGGCCAGTCTGGTTGGGCGGCTGGTGATCAGTACAGAGCAACCCTGAAGAAGACTCTGCCTCACCAAACTGACCACAATCTCACCAACCTCTGTTCTCTGTTTTGGATTGGACATTTTATATGATGTGAACTCCATTTGGTGAACACTTTCATCTAAGCCATCAAATATAAACATCAATCTCTCTGGATGATGTAATATATCTCCAATCTGAGTCCTCAGATACGGATATTGTTGAAGAATCATCCCCTCCAAGCTGACCTCTCCCAGTCTATTAAGGTCCCGGAATCTGAAGAAGAAGACAAAAGCAAATCTCTGGTAGTGTTTTCCGGTCACCCAGTCATTGACAAACTTCTGTATCAGTGTGGTCTTCCCTATTCCTGGCACTCCGCTCACCATTACTGCATGTGGTGCACATTGTGACTGGGGGCTCCAGCGGAACAGTCTGTTGGGGGAAATATGTTCCAGTCCAGATTGTGTTTTCTTCAAGCATTCCTCATGTCTCACCCCGGTCTGTATTATCTCATTCTGGGGACGTTCCCTGAACTGATCTGTGGAGACTACAACCAGGTTCACATAACGCTCATTGATGAGGAATCTTTGTGATTCCAGGGTAGTTCCTGGGGGTCTGTGCTCCTCTAGAGTCTCAGTCCTCTCCATCAGATGTTGTTTGTGCTTCATCTGAATTTCTGGGAAGAAATAAAAACGAGTGACTTAGGTAAAAACAGACGTTTGAAGCACGATGTTTCATCTATAATTTCTTTCTGCAGTTTTTAAAATAATAGATTTTTCTATACAATCTTATTTCCATTTTGTAAAATCCCCTAATACCCTAAAACCTCTGAGCTGCCGCAGTGTCAGTATAATCAGAGATTTCATAGTCAATGTTTCCCGGGCAGGGTGACCACCATCTTTATTCTGGCTGTGATTGGCCAGCATGTTGGAGACATAAATCACAAAGAGTTGTGTCACTGTTTTGGGCAATGATGTCATCAGCTGACCAGTGATTGTTGGTTGGCCTCTGAAGCACATTGATAACACTGTACAAATGATCCAGCAGTATGATGGGATATAACAGAAAGTGTACAGCGTGTCATTCTCCTTCACATAATGAAAAGCCTTTCCTGATAATTCCTCATTTCCAAAGAAATTTCTGAAGAAGATCAGTCTGTCTCTGGGGAGAAATCCCATGATGTCCACTATTCTCTGGAAGACATGAGTATCAACTGAGGCCAGTCTGGTTGGGCGGCTGGTGATCAGTACAGAGCAACCCTGAAGAAGACTCTGCCTCACCAAACTGACCACAATCTCACCAACCTCTGTTCTCTGTTTTGGATTGGACAGTTTACATGATGTGAACTCCATTTGGTGAACACTTTCATCTAAGCCATCAAATATAAACATCAATCTCTCTGGATGATGTAATATATCTCCAATCTGAGTCCTCAGATACGGATATTGTTGAAGAATCATCCCCTCCAAGCTGACCTCTCCCAGTCTATTAAGGTCCCGGAATCTGAAGAAGAAGACAAAAGAAAATCTCTGGTAGTGTTTTCCGGTCACCCAGTCATTGACAAACTTCTGTATCAGTGTGGTCTTCCCTATTCCTGGCACTCCGCTCACCATTACTGCATGTGGTGCACATTGTGACTGGGGGCTCCAGCGGAACAGTCTGTTGGGGGAAATATGTTCCAGTCCAGATTGTGTTTTCTTCAAGCATTCCTCATGTCTCACCCCGGTCTGTATTATCTCATTCTGGGGACGTTCCCTGAACTGATCTGTGGAGACTACAACCAGGTTCACATAACGCTCATTGATGAGGAATCTTTGTGATTCCAGGGTAGTTCCTGGGGGTCTGTGCTCCTCTAGAGTCTCAGTCCTCTCCATCAGATGTTGTTTGTGCTTCATCTGAATTTCTGGGAAGAAATAAAAACGAGTGACTTAGGTAAAAACAGACGTTTGAAGCACGATGTTTCATCTATAATTTCTTTCTGCAGTTTTTAAAATAATAGATTTTTCTATACAATCTTATTTCCATTTTGTAAAATCCCCTAATACCCTAAAACCTCTGAGCTGCCGCAGTGTCAGTATAATCAGAGATTTCATAGTCAATGGAAAATTATAAATCAATTTGCAGAAATAAACATCTAATAAAAAAACAAATAACTGTGCTAATAAATTCCAGTGACTACACTCATCCCCACAACTTCTCAGTGCCAGACAGGGCCGCCATCAGGGGGGTACGGCCAATACTCATGTAAGGGGCCCGCCCGGGACCCATACAAGAGTATCGGCCGATGGTGAAGGGCGAGGAGGCGGCTGGGCCCCCGCAGCAGCGGAGGCCTGGCCCTAGCAGCGCAGGGCCCCAGCATTGCCGCTCCAGCTGCTTCGAGACAAGCCGGGGCCCCATCATGACGCTGCTCGTCTGAATGCGGAAGTGATGTCACGTTGGTGACGTAATGTCATTTCTGGTCAGTCCAGCGGGTTGGGTGTGCAGGTCAGTGGCAAATCCGAGAGGGGGGAGACGCTGCCGTCCTGAAACCGACAGGAGGATAGCAGCTCCGCTCTCCTCTCCGCCTGCCGTTCGATCATCGTGATCGAGGCAGGCGGGGAGGAGAGCGGAGCCGCTGTCCTCCTGTCAGTTTCAGGATGACAGCGGCTGTGTGCCTGGCCGAGCAGAGGATCGGTAAGTATCATTGATATTTACCGATCCTCCGTGCATAGCACAAACACTGGAGCGATCGTCTGATCACTCCAGTGTTTGTAAATAACTGGGGATACATAGTACTATGTGTCCCCAGTTATGAATGAACAGACTGCGATTTACATCACTTCCTGTTCATTCATGAATTTCTCAATGGGGAGAAGCACTCAGTACAGAGGCTTTTCCCCATTGAGAATCTGCTTGATAGTAAATATCTTACTATCAGCAGTTTGTGAATGAATGGGAAGCCTCTGTACTGAGTGCTTCCCATTCACTGAGTGCTGAGGCTGCAGAAAAAGACATTGAGGACTCTGTGTCCTCAATGTCTTTTTCTATTTCAAAAGGGAAATGTCAGGGGTTTGTTTAGACCCCAGATATTTCACCGTAGCCCCCCCAACAGTAAATCAATAATAAATAATAATTACAAAATAAATTTAAAATGTGTAAATAAAAAAAAAAGCACAACCCCCCTCCCCCACACACACATAACATAAACGTGCACCATATTGTGGTGTACGCCAGGCACATGCGCTGAAGTGCGTTGTTAGAACGCATCGCAGTGCATGATTTTTTTCTATCGTAAATAAACATTAATTTATCTGTGGCAGCGCATGGCAAAGCTTTGTGACGCATTGTCGTGCGTTGTAATACCTTGTGTTGTAATTAAATATACACCTGTATAATTTTATCACAGCACAAACGCCAACACAGCGCAAAAACCATTTATAACATAAATCGCTTATTTACTGTTTAGCGTTCCTTCATTTTCTTTTATAATCCCCCTTTCCTCAGCCTCTCATTGGTGTGGCAGTATTGCTGACTTTATGTGAAATGTATAGCTGGTGGTATTCTGCATAACTGTATAATCATTATACAGGAATGCAGAATACCACCAGCTATACAGGACTACAAATTCCAGCACTGGCGGGGGGGCCCAGAGAGGAAGAAGATGCCCCCCCAAGATAGTGCCGCTCTGCCACGCGCAGCATGTAGGAGCGGCTGTGCGGCGGGGCTGGAGAGGCTGTCACTAGTCCAGCAGAATGTACTGCAGGCACCGCCAGGCAGCACATTCTTCTGTGTGAGGACCCTCTCCTCTTAGCCCCACCACCTGGCCACCGGGACACAGAAGAGGGCCCTGCATGAGAGTCAGGTAAGTCTGGACCGGGAAGGGTGATGCTGGTGGTATTCAGCATCCCCATGATTTTTATTAAGAAGTATTGCTGGGACTTTTAGTCCTGCATAGCTGGTGGTATTCTGCATTGCTGTGTATTCATTATAGAGTAATGCAGAAGAGCACTGCCCCCCCAACAGTAAATCAATAATAAATAATAATTACAAAATAAATTTAAAATGTGTAAATAAAAAAAAAAGCACAACCCCCCTCCCCCACACACACATAACATAAACGTGCACCATATTGTGGTGTACGCCAGGCACATGCGCTGAAGTGCGTTGTTAGAACGCATCGCAGTGCATGATTTTTTTCTATCGTAAATAAACATTAATTTATCTGTGGCAGCGCATGGCAAAGCTTTGTGACGCATTGTCGTGCGTTGTAATACCTTGTGTTGTAATTAAATATACACCTGTATAATTTTATCACAGCACAAACGCCAACACAGCGCAAAAACCATTTATAACATAAATCGCTTATTTACTGTTTAGCGTTCCTTCATTTTCTTTTATAATCCCCCTTTCCTCAGCCTCTCATTGGTGTGGCAGTATTGCTGACTTTATGTGAAATGTATAGCTGGTGGTATTCTGCATAACTGTATAATCATTATACAGGAATGCAGAATACCACCAGCTATACAGGACTACAAATTCCAGCACTGGCGGGGGGGCCCAGAGAGGAAGAAGATGCCCCCCCAAGATAGTGCCGCTCTGCCACGCGCAGCATGTAGGAGCGGCTGTGCGGCGGGGCTGGAGAGGCTGTCACTAGTCCAGCAGAATGTACTGCAGGCACCGCCAGGCAGCACATTCTTCTGTGTGAGGACCCTCTCCTCTTAGCCCCACCACCTGGCCACCGGGACACAGAAGAGGGCCCTGCATGAGAGTCAGGTAAGTCTGGACCGGGAAGGGTGATGCTGGTGGTATTCAGCATCCCCATGATTTTTATTAAGAAGTATTGCTGGGACTTTTAGTCCTGCATAGCTGGTGGTATTCTGCATTGCTGTGTATTCATTATAGAGTAATGCAGAAGAGCACCAACTATACAGGACTACAAGTCCCAGCAATGCATTATATTTTTAAGTAGGTATGCACCAGTCGGTGCCAATACTGGGCATTTTCACAAGTACTCATACTCGTGAAAATGCCCCGATACTAAACGCAGATACCGGTGTTCTGTCTAGAATACCAACGTAATCGAATTTGCCGACCTCAGCATCTGCGCTTGTGCACAGACCAGTATGATCGAGGAAACCGGGATCCGCCTGTGTGCAAACGCAGATACTGGGTTGGCGTTCTCGACAGAACACCGGCACTAGATTTTTAAACTCAAGCGGCTGCCTGAGGTCCTGCGCTTGCTGGGGACCTCGGCAGCCTTCTTGTTAATGGCGGCTGGGGGGCCCTTCATAGTTTCTTGCCCTGAAGGTTCTAGTTACGCCTATGAATTCCAGCAATACATTATACAAAGCTGCAGCGGATCCTCTGTACAGAGACTGATGTGACTGGCTCAGTGTTCTCTGTATAGCACTGCAGTATATGTCAAAGCTATATAAATGTATAATAATAACGGTGCAGGGGGGGGACCAGGTGGTGCGGGGGGCCGGCCCAAAATTTCTGATGGCTGCCATGGTGCCAGAGATTCATAAGCAAAACATATTTGTATTCATTCACAACAATCTCTGTTCTCTGCAACCCAAAAAACTTTTTTCTTCAGCATGACTCCCCATATCAATGACTTCCCCATTCCAGAACAAAAACAGAACCTGTGATCTATATCCTCCAACAACATAAAATATCCAGCAATCCCCTCTCCGT